CTCAAATGTGTACTATGTCTGCAGGACTTTTGGTATTGAAAATGGACCATGTAGGTCCACGTCTTCGTATAGCCCCCATATAACGGTACCTCCCGATATGCGGTATTTTGATGATTTTAGCGACATTTTTTACTGGAATTGTTTCAAAATTAATATTTGAAGTTCATAATAGATGCTACGGCTTAAGACAGAAAATGGGCCATGTAGGTACACGTCTTCGTATAGCCCCCATATAACGGTACCTCCCGATATTCGGTATTTTGATCATTTTAGCGACATTATTTACCGAAATTGTTTCAGTTTTAGTATTTGAAGTTCGTAATGAATGCTATAGCCTATCACAGAAATTTGTCTGTGCAGGTCCACGCCTTCGTATAGCCCCCATATAACGGTGCCCCCCAATATTCGGTATTTTGATGATTTTAGCGACATTATTTACCGGAATTGTTTCAAATTTCGCATTTGAAGTTCGTGAAGTTCGACAGAAAATTGCCTGTGCATTATAAACAGATTTTTTTTTCAAGTTTCGCATTTGAATATTGTAATAGCTTGTGACAAAAGTTGCCTATGCAGGTCCACATCGTCGTATAGATTCTAATATACGGCTACATTAAGTATTTTCAAGATTTTAACAAATTTTTAAGGGATTCTATTTTTTTTTGAAAATTGTTAAATTTGTACCAAATGGTGGAGGGTATTCAAAGTGCGGCCGGCCGAACTTACAGCTTTTTTACTTGTTCTTTTTTTTAATTTTACTGAATGAAAGTAAAAAATGTTGGAAATAGCATCAAATTTTAGATTAAGTTTTGACTTGTTCGAATTGGTCACCTTTGGCACGAGTTATGGCCTTCAAATGGCGAATGAAACCGTCATACGCTGCCTGAATGTTGCTCTGCGGTATTTGGCCCATTCCCGGCGAAGCGCTTGTTTGAGGCGATCGACACTTTGGTATTTTTTAGTGCCAACCTTGCTTTTCAAAATACTCCAGACACAATAGTCATAGATTGGTATCCGGAGGTTTTGGTGGCCATTGTGCGCTGGAAATGAAGCGAGGAACCTCAGTTTGAGTGCAATGGTGCTGAATCCTGTTGGAATGTCCAAGGTCTGCGGCCAAAATGTTTGCGTGCCCAAGGCTTTAATACACCCTCCAGAATATTTTCGCAATAACATTCGGCAATTAATCTGATGCCACGGTCGATTAATACAAGCGGAGAGCGACCATCGGTTGTTATGGCGGCCCACACCACCAACATGGCCTTCGCTTGAGTTGTGGTGGCCAACCGAAGGTGCACATTGGTTTCGATCAAGTCGCTTCTATACTTTTCGAACCATTTCTGCTGGTGTTAGTGTTTTCTTCCGTCCACTTCCCTGACGTTGGGCTACGCTACCAGTATCACAGTAACGAGCGCTGGAGTGCGCTATCGATAACCGCTTGTGGTTTTCCAGCCAAATATAAAGAAATCACAAAATCACGCTTGAATTCCATTACGAATAACTTTTTTTCTGAAAAATTCTCACCAAAATGCTTTTGTACGCTTGTAAACAATGTAATAAGCTGTCACTGGAATAAATTTAACAGCTGTCAGACGTGTGGCATAAAAACTACAGCACTCTGAAGTTGATTGCAGTTTTTTCATTTCACCCTGTACTTTCTATTTTTTGCCAAATTTGAGTTTAAATGACTTTAGGATCATTTTCCGTAATTTTCTGATGTTAAGGTTACAAAAATTTCGGTAAGAAAGGCCAAAGCTGTTGCAGCTTTCTTCAATTCCTAATACCCTGAGACTTGTGAACTTATAGAGGTTGTGCACGCAAAAACTTTTTTTCCGTTTGTAAAAAATGAATTTGGGACGGCAGTCGATTTGGTTAAAATTTAAATCGATTTTGAATTTGGCCCAAAAAACCCACTAAGCTGGGTCGAACTTTGAATGGCCTCCACAATTTGGAATGAATTTGCAAATTTTCAAAAAAATATCCTTGAAAATAACGCTAAAATCATCAAAATATGGAATGTAGGGAGGCACCGCTATATGCAACGGTACTGCATAGACAATTTTCTGCCACAGGTTGTAGTACCCATTATGAACTTACTGTGCAAAATTTGAAAGAATTCCGCTGGATAATATCGCTAATATCTTTAAAATACCGAATATAGGGATGTACCGTTATATGGAAGCTATACGAAGGCGAGGATTAATATATATATTCACATTTCGAAGCAAGAATGTTTATTTCATAATGGGAAAATCAACTGACAATTTATAGCAAATTCGGGTTAAATTTGTGACTACAGTTGGTACAGTTATATGGGAGGTATACTAAAACTTTGACCGATATGGAAAATTTGCATTACAAAAGACCAGCTGTAAAAACATATGTCTAAGTAAAATTTTATCAACCTTTTTCACTCCACTAGAGAGATTTCCACAGTCGGACAGACCGACGTACGGGCGTCTTTAACAATTTTCTAACAATTTTCTGCTGATCAAGAACATAATTTTTGGAATCTAAAATGTATATTTGGAGGTGTTACAAAAGGAAAGACAAACTTAATATACCCTCCATACTATTGTGGATATTTTACAGATTTGTGAAGTGAGGTATTCGAAAATGTAACATTCGGATTGATATATGTTGTTCAAAATTTTAATTCATTTTTAAGGTGATAGGGTGAAGGAATACGGCTGTCTGGAAGTCGAATAATATGTTCAACCTTATTATACCCTACAACACTATGTGTTGGGGGTGTTATAATTTTGATTGGTTTCCCCTATGTCGCTGAGCTGAGTCGATCTAGCTATGTATGTCCTAGAGTTAGAGTTTAGGACTGAGCAGAAACCTACCAATTTGGGCGGCCATCGGACAGTATTAAGCGGATAAAATATTGTCATATTTTTTATCGCGTACGGTTTTTTCCATTTGACATACAATTTTGAGTTGAAAATTTTCTAAATTTTTACACCTCTCAACACTACGCATTGAGGGTATAATATGTATGTCGCAATTATTGTCCGATCCTCACGAAATGCATGCATGGGGTAGCGTTAGGGTCAGAATAAGAGCCTATTGTTCTTAAGATGTACATTTATGGGTTCAAATGGACTAAAAGAATTTACATTTTTCTAATTTTTTATTCTATCTATAGGCCAAAATTGAAAACTAATCGACACGGAATTTCGTATCTGGAGAGAGTTAAGCACAGGGAAGAAGTCTAACATTTTGGATGACTATTGGATTATTTTATACCCTCCACCAAAAAAGGTATGGAGGGTATATTCAGTTCGTCATTCCGTTTGTAACTCATCGAAATAATCATTTTAGACCCAACAAAGTATATATATTATTGATCAGCGTAAAATTCTAAGACGATTTAGCCCTGTCCGTCCGTCTGTCCGTCTGTTGTAATCACGCTACAGTCTAAACGAATTAAGATAGGAAGCTAAAATTTGGCACAGATCTCTCTTTTGTCTGCAGGAAGGTCAAGTTCGAAGATGGGCTATATCGGTCTACGATATCGTATAGCCCCCATATAACGGTACCCCCGATATTCGGTATTTTGATGATGTTAGCCACATTTTTCAATGAAACTGTCTGAAAATCCACACTAGTAGTTCCTTGTGGGTACTTTATACCTCGACAGAGAATTATCTATATAGGTCCACGATATCGTATAGCCCCCATATAACGGTACCCCCTATATTCGGTATTTTGATGATTTCAGTCACATTTTTCAACGGAATCGTCTGAAATTCCACACAAGGCGTTCTTTGTGAGCACTTTACCCCCTGATATACAGTTCTCTATATAGGTTAACGATATCGTATAGCCCCCATATAACGGTACCCCCGTTATTCGGTATTTTGATGATTTTAGCCACATTTTCCAATCGTATTGTCTGAAAATCCACACACGGAGTTCTTTGTGAGCACTTTACCCCTGAAACGGAATTGTCTATATAGGTCCACAATATCGTATATCCCCCATATAACGGTACCCCCGATATTCGGGGTTTTGATAATTTTAGCCACATTTCCCAATGGAATTATCTGAAAATCCACACAAGGAGTTCCTTGTGAGTACTTTACCCCCAGACATAGATTTGTCTATATAGGTCCAAAATAGCGTATATCCCCCCATATATCGGCACCTTCCGATATTAGGTATTTTAAAGATTTTAACAGAATTTTCAATGGATTTTATTTTTTTAAATATTTTCTAATTCGTTCCAAATGGTAGAGGGTATTCAAAGTTCGGCCCGGCCGAACTTACTGCTTTTTTACTTGTTAACTATAAAATGGAACACAACTTTCGTTTGAAATTGTTTTGAATACAACACGACGGAATGCGTAAATATTGACCAAATTCTCCGGGTCAAAAACCTAAGGGTAACATCTGGGCAGGGCTCTTTGAAATTATTTCATAAACAAAATCTTCCAAAATGGATTTGGATATAAGGAGACTGCGAACATATTGTAGTATTGTAGGGTATGGCTTGGTCGGCCCGCACGACTATAACATTTTTCTTACATGTTTATGCTGATTTCGTTGACGAATATACCCAAATATCATAGACAAGCTAATTATATAGATTAGTCTAAATTTGAAGGGTCCTCTTGCTTTTGGAGATGATCGCAAAGTATTTAGGGGTTCAAATGAACCAAAAGACAGAAAATTTTCCTGATCACACAATTGAAGCAAATCGACACGCCTGAGAAGAGAGCTAAGGATGGCGAAGAAGTATAACATTTTGGATGTCCATTGGATTATATTTAGCTTTAAAATGGACCACAACAGCACGACGGAATGCGTAAATATTGGGCAAATTTCCCTGGTAAAAATGCTAAGGGTAATATCAGAGCAGTGCTCAATGACATGATTTCAAAAGCGAAATTATCCAAAAGGGATTTGGACATAAAGGGGCTTGTAACATATTGTAGTATTGTAGGGTATCACATGGTCGGCCCCGCACGACAATAGCCTTTGCTTACTTGTTATAGGTATATCTTTATCTTTCGCTTCAATATATTTAAAAAATACAAATTTATTTGATTATATTCCTCCGTTTAAATAATTTAACTATTGAATAAATATACGATCATATCAAAGAGTTGTGCATGGCGGGCTAATAAATAATAATTACACTTTTTCTACAACATAAGGGAGATTTTCCAAAATAACATAATTAAATAATATGACTAAATTGGTTTTACATTTCGATATCACAGAGTAATAAGCAAGCAAAGCAAGATAATATAGAAAAATATCTCATGGTTCCATATTCGAGCGTATCCAATCAATGTAACTTCTGATACGAGTATAAATTGCAGGTGTTTCAAGGCCACAGCCACGGCCATAGGAAACCAGGCCTTCAATCCACCAACCTTCGGGAGAAAGTCGGGTGAGAGCACCACCCGAGTCGCCAGTGCAACTATCCTTCCGGTATTCACCACCGGCACACAACTGTTCATCGGCCAACAAGTACGGGCAATTGTTGTTTTCAACATAGGGAACTTCAACCTTTTGTTTTGAGGCGGTGTATTTTACTAGGGAAATATAAATTCAAACTTTTAGCTTTTACTGCAATTGCAATTACGAGAACAACTTACCAGTTCCATTGTGACCCCAACCGGCCACACTCAATTTCATGCCATTTCTCAATTGTGGGATATTGGGTAAAACATTTGGCAAGCAAACAGGCGCCACAGTATCTGTATAAATTATGGGCCTATCGGTTCGTATCAATGCAATATCGTGTATGTTATAGATTTTCGGATTTGTATTGAAATTCTTGTGCACGATTATGCGTTCAACATTCAAACGCTGAAAGGGATCAATGCAACCGAAATTGTTGCAATCAATTTGTGTTTGGGTGTTATGATCACCAACTCGAACCGAGACTCTGCAATTGATAAAAATTAAATAGTTAATATTTTAAAAGTTTTTCTTATATATAAAAAATAGAAACTACTTACACTTTTCCAACTTTTTCCTCAATTTTGCCTTTAATGCAATGAGCGGCTGTTAGCACATAACGATGATTGATGATATTACCGGCACAGACGGATACCAAATCCCCATTTGCTGGAAGTAATGAGTAATAATTAAAATCCGGCCGAAATAAAAATCAAACAGTATGTAAAAATCAAATAGTATGAACATTTTTATAAGCACTTCCAGTAGCTAATAATAATAATAGGTTTACAGGGTGAGATATAAAAAAAATGTAACTGCTGTTATTTCCCAGCCACTCGTCCGACAACTCATTATATTGTTTAAAAGCGTACAAAAGAATTTTAGTGAGAATTTTCCGAAAGTGGTGAACTGCCGAATTTGGTTTTCTCCGATGAGAAAACATTCGTTGTCCAGCAGTTTGTAAACAAACAAAATGATCGTGTTTACTTATCAAAGAGGTCAGCTGAAAATGTTCACGTTCGGTTGGCCACCAGAACTCAAGCGTCGGAAATGGTGATGGTGTGGGCTGCCATAGCAACCGATGGTAGCTCTCCGCTCGTATTAATCGACCGTGACAACAGAATAAAAGCCGAATATTATTCATTCGTCTTAGACCCCATAAAGTGAATATATTCATAATCAGCATAAAATTCTAAGTCGATTTAACGATGTCCGTCTGTCTGTCTGTCTGTCTGTTGAAATCACGATACAGCCCACAAAATTTGATGTAGAGCGCATTGTGTCTAGGATGGTTGGCATTGAAAATGAGATATATCGGTCCACGTTCTGGTATAGTCCCCATATAACGGTACCTCCCGATATTCGGTATTTTGATGATTTATGCCACATTTTTTCACGGATTTGTCTAAAAATTGGTATTTGTGGGTCATAATGGTTTCCAGCTCCGGTGGCGAAACATTGCATGTATGGGTCCATGATTTGGTATAGCCCCCATATAACGGTACCTCCCGATATTCGGCATTTTGATGGTTTTTACCACATTTTTTCACTGATTTGTCTAAAAATTGGTATTTGTGGGTCATAATGGGTCCTAGTTCGTGTGGCGAAACATTGTATTTATAGGTCCACGTTTTGGTGTAGCCCCCATATAATGGTACCTACCGATATTCGGCATTTCAATGGTTTTTGCCACATTTCTTCTAATGTTTCTTTTACCCTAAGGTGGAGGGTATTAAAAGTTTGGCCCGGCCGAACTTAATGTTTTTTTACTTGTTTGTATCTCACCCTGTATATATACTTTATGTTGTCTAGATGAATATTTAGGGATGTTACAAACGGAATGACAAAGTTTCAAAGGTGCAAGGTATAATAATACGATTAACCATATAATGATGAAATCGCAAGATCGGCTCCAAATATCCTGAAACAGATTTCATCTAAAGAGACCATTTTTTCGATGGATATCCTCCTTAGCCATGTGGCTGAGCGTATATTTAGAAAACGCACATAAAAGTCGAAAAACAAGTGCCTGTTCTATCCAACTACTAATCGCGGAATCGCAAACATAGTTTTTAGCAAACAATCTTTTAGGCCCGATTCAAAGATTTGAAATAACTTAAACAATTTTTGAAAAACTCTACGATTTTCAGTACTCTCACAACTAATAATTGTTTCGAAATTTATTTTCAGCATACAACTGATGTGACACATTTCTTCCACTTCATACTAAAGCGAATGAGGCCAGAGTCATAGGTATGTAAGAAGAAATTAAAAAATAAAACTAATTATAGCACACTTCGGATTTTTCCGGAAAAAATGTTTACATTCCTCACGCTTTCTCTGCTGTATTTAAAGAACATTTAATCATAAACACTTCCCAGAATAGCCAAAGGAATTCATTTATTCATAGCATCAAAATGAATCGTGATGATATTTGTTAATGCAAGCAATACCGGACATGATGACATGACTCAGATGTTGGCAATCTAAAATCACTTACCTTTTTTATGTTCCAAATTTACCAACCATGGAAATTCTCCTAATTCTGCCTCTTCACCACCGTAGATTTTGTTCACCAATGAAATCGGTCCACACACTGGAGGTTTCGGAAACAGTTCATCATAATCTTGTGGTATTTCCGTGGATGTATCTTGTCTTCGGGTGCTCGTTTGATAAGAATTTTTTTCCTCATCATCACTGGGAAATATAATGCGTTGAGATTTCAGTTGAGTACGATCCACAAAACCGGTATCTGAAGTACAGCAAACATATGGACGGCGACCTCTGCCGTTGCTGCATTCTGATTGACGGGCAAAACCATATTTACTCGACCATTTGTTGCGTATGATAGCAAGAATAGTAGGGCATTCATAGATGGAAATGCAAACACCAGTACGATCATTTGGATTGTTACATTTTTGTGAAACTATAAGAATTAGAGTAGAAGAAATTTAAATGCATATAGGTATTTAGAAAATTAAATAGGGAAAAGCAATAAAGCACAATTATTGCTATTAAAATAAACCAGCCTCTTCTATCCCGGTTTGTGTCATAAGAATCTATTTTTATCATATTACGTCGTGAGAAACGTCACTCGACACAGTGTCTCTTTCCCATTTGAAATTTTGTCACGATTTCTTACATAATTTTTCATTTTGTTAATATTTAAATAAGAAATATTTACATTTTCTTTAAATTGGGCGCTCTCTGTGTAATAATTGTATACAGGGTGAGATAAAAAAACGCAACCAACTTCAGACTGCTGTCATTTCAAAGCCACTCGTCCGACAGCTGTTAAAATTATTCCAGTGATATCTCATTATATTGTTTACAAGCGTACAAAAGCATTCTCGTGAGATTTTTCCAAAAAAAAAATGATTCGTGATGGAATTCAAGCGTGATAGGTTGATTTCTTTATATTTGGCTGGAAAACCAGCATTTAAATGTGAATAAATCTTTTGTGTCTCGTACCATCGCACGTTACCGTGATACTGGTAGCGGAGCCCTACGTCAAGGAAGTGGACGAAAGAAAACAGCAACATAAGCAGAAATGGTTCGAAAAGAAAAGAAGCGACTTGATCGACCGCGTCGCAATAGCCGAAGAATGGCTCGTGAGCTGAACATGTCCCAATATTCCATTTGGCAAATATTGAAAAATGAGCTCAGGGTAAAGCCATTGAAATTCCAAAAAGTGCAATAACTTACACTGCAACAGAAAGAAAAACCAAAATAAGGTTCCTCGCTTCATTTCCGGCGCACAATAGCCACCAAAATCTCCGGATTCCAATCCGTTGGACTGTTTTGTATGGAGTATTTTGGAAAGCAAAGTTGGCACCTCAAGCAAGCGCATCGCCGGGGACGGGCCAAAATATGGCAGAGTAATATTCGGGCAGCATGTGAAGATTTCATTGGCCGTTTGAAGTCCATAATTCGTGCCAAAGGTGATCAATTCGAAAAAATCTAAACCAAAATTTGATGATAAATTTATATTCCTGAAACTCAATAATGTGGCTAAAGAGGGAATATTTCAATTAATTCCGAAACATTTCTGCCTAAGAGTTCTACAATAACTCTCGAAAGAAGTATCCGCTTCGACCAATGCTTGGCACATACTAATAGTTTTGTAAACATATATCAAGTTGGTATCCCTTAAAAATGGTAAAAATTAATAAAATTGCATTGAACTAGATCTAGAGCGGATACGATCACCATGGCGGTGCAGTCCTTCTGGAAAATTCTGTATATAAGTAAAACGATTTTACGATAATCAAAATCGCGTGTTTGGGAAGAATGTACCGGATGTAGTTCAAATTTGGCACATCGTAATATTAGACATAAGTCAGGATAGCAAATTGACAATATTTGCTGTTCATTACTGTACCAAGTTCACAATGTTCAAAATTGAGCTATAATAAATCCCTTTAAGTTGGGAAATCAATTTCCGATTTTCCAAAGATCACAAATTTAAATCGTATAAATACCTCATAGAAAAACGATCCGAGTAGTAATATTTATACCTTACAACACTACGAGTTGGGGGTATTATAAGTTTGATTGGGCCGAAAATTATGCAACAACTCGAAAAGTTGTCAAGAATATATATACTTTGTGGGGTCAAAAACGGTATGTACTTCAAGTACTGTTATCTTCTTAAATCTTCTTAAATACCAAACTTGAAACAATTTCGAGGGAAAATGTGTCTAAGATTATCAAAATACCGAGTATCGGTGAGTATCGTTAAGTTTCAATGTTCTGACGTCGGAGCTAGAACCCATTTTGAAATCCCTGGGAAACTCTGGCAAAAATCATCAAAATACTGAATATCCGGAGGTATCATTATGTGGGGGCTATACGAAAAAGTGGACCTATACATACCATGTTCCACCACCGGAGCAAGAACCCATTATGACTTAGAAATACCGAGTTTTAGACAAATCCGTAGAAAAATGTGGCATAAATGATCAAAATACAGAATATCGGGAAGTACGGTCATATGGCGGCTATACCGATATATCTCATTTTCAATACCAATCATCCTAGCCGTAATACCAATTGTTCTAACAAGTTTTGAAGCTCTACATCAAATAATGTGGACTCTATCGTGATTTCCACTCACAGACGACGGGCAGATGTACGTCGAATATTTAGGGATGTTACAAACAGAATGGCAAACCGTCATGTTCAAGGTATAGGGCATAAAAATCGCCCTCTACAATGGCAAATACTGTAATACGACTGAATCCATGAGACAAAACGTGGCAATTGTTCTATATTTATGCCCTCTATCGTACTAAAAGGAGCAAGCAAAAAAGCTGTAAGTTCGGTCGGGCCGATCTTTGAATACCCTCCACCATTTATAACGAATTTGGTTATTTTCAAAAAAAATATTCGTTAAAAATTCTGTTAAAATTTGTCATAAACCATTACAATATTCAAATGCGAAACTTAAAAAAAAAAGAATTTAGATAATGTAGCTAAAATCATCAAAATACCGAATATCGGGAGGTACCGTTGTATGAGGGCGATACGAAGACGTGGACCTGCACAGACAATTTTCTGTCTTAGGCTATGATATCCATTTCGTTTCGTTCGGAAGTTAAAGTGATTTCCACATACGGATAGATGGACAGACGGACCATACTATGGTGGGGGATATAAAAATATTTACAAAGTTAGAATCGTGTATATAATTTGCTATGTCTCCGATATCAGATCGTATACTTCAACGAAATCAGCATCTGTTTTAAAGTGTTTGTGATATTGGCCGATAAAAGATAATTTTGGCACTTTTCACACAAAAGTTGTGGTCTATATCACCCGCTAAATATTATCCGATGGCCATGAAAAATGCCAGCCTGCAATGTCAGGCTGGTCTTAACACAAGCGACTGTAAGATCAGGAATAATTCAAGATTTTGGTTCAACACAGTAGGTTTATATTTTGACCCTGACCCTAACTGCTTGATGTTTGTCCTAAACTGCGACCTGCGGATTAATTACAAATTATCAAGGACAGACCAGTGGATAAGCACGCATAGAAAATTTTTGGTGCAATTAAACATAATATACACTAACCATTATGTGTACCATAACGGGAGATTTTCCTCTTAAAATATTTTGTGTACATTTCTACTAATTGCATACGAATGGAAATGCATCGATGTTTTTCCATTCGTATATTATATATTTCTTACTTCTCCTACAATTATTGTCTGCCTTTTTTTGCTGCTATTGAAAAAAGGTAATAAAAACAAGAGAAATTTTTGTAATTTTGATAAAACGCCAAGCAATGGAAAATCGATATGATAGAGATTTTTTTCAGATCCCCTGATGTTATCCACAGTATGTTATTGAACTTATTTTAATATCGAGCAGATTTTATACTTAAGTACCACATGGCGTTAAAATATTAAGCATTTGGAAGCTATATCCAAATCGCGATAATCGCCAAGGATTCGAATTTGGGCCAAACATATGAGCTGTACCCTGTACCAAACCATGGTGTTGGTTATAAAAATATATAATATAATCTCCCCCAGCCATGGTATCAAATCATTCCAAATATTTATTGAAATGCCGTGTAATCGGTATGAAACACTTTTTTAGTATTTGGTTCCGTAGATTCTCGTAAGCCAAAAAAAATCTCAAATATATTTTGTCGCTCGCATTTTTGTATTTCCCATGAAATGAGAATAGTATCCGATTTGAGATGTTTTGACATTGGTCTACATTTTGAAAATAAAACGTCTATAGGCAGTACTACCCGGTTTTGTGGTTATTTGGTAAAATATCCATTCGTGCCAATATTTATATACCCTCCACCTTTAATAGGAGGGTATACTAACTTTGTCATTCCGTTTGTAACATCTCTATATATTCTCTGTAGACCCCAAATCATTTCTAAGCCCCTCGCCCGACTCGCTTTAAAAATTATTCCAGTGACAGTTCATTATATTGTTTACATGCGTACAAAATTATTTTGGTGAGAATTTTCCAGAAAAAAAGTTATTCCTAATGGAATTCAAGCGTGATAGTATGATTTCTTTATATTTGGCAGGAAAACCACGAGTGGCTATCATTAGAGCACTCCAGCATTTAAATGTGAATAAATCTTTTGTGCCTTGTACCATCGCTCTATAGCGTAGCCCAACGTCAAGGATGTGGACGGAAGAAAAAAACAACATCAGCACAAATGGTTCGAAAAGTAAAGAAGTGACTTGATCGAAACTTATGTTTACTTGCCAAAGAGGTCATGTGCACCTTCGTTAGCCATCAGAACTTAAACGCCGGCCATGGTGATGGTATGGTCCGCCATAACAGCTGATGGTCACTCTCCGCTCGTTTTAATCGACCGTGGCGTCAGAATAAATGTCGAATATTATTTCGAAACTAATCTTGGGGGGTGTATTAAAGCCTTGAACACGCAAACATTTTGGCAGCATACCTTGGACATTCCAACAGGACTTAGCACCATCGCACTCAGCACACGCTGAGAATGGTTGCAAAATGAGATTCCTCGCTTCATTTCCAGCGCACAATGGCCACCAATCCGTTAAACTATTGTGTCTGGAGTATTTTGGAAAGCAAGGTTGGCACCAAAAATACCAAAGTGTCGATAACCTCAAAAAAGCACTTCGCCGGGAATGGACCAAAATACCGCAGAGCAACGTTCGAGCAGCCTGTGACGGTTTCATTGGCCGTTTGAAGGCCATAATTCGTGGCAAAGGTGACTAATTCGAACAAATCTAAACTTATTCTAAAATTTGATACTATTTCCCTAATTTTTTGCTTTCATTCAATACAATTAAAAAAAAATAATCTCTGGGGTTTGACTTTGTTGCAGTTTTTTTTTATCTCACCCGTATATGTAGGCGTTCTGTTTAGACAAAATATTTGGCTCATGTCATAACCATGGGTGAAGAAATTTTAAAATGATGGTCTATATGTGACTGCAATGCTAATTTCTCCGAACGTTTTCAAACACATTTGAAGATTACGTTCATTATTTGAGAGCAACACAAAATACAATATAAATAATATCGTTTCACGTTTGGTATATTCGCAGTTTGCATAAAAAATTATGCTAATCATTTTTTTATTTATAATTAATTTTCATTATTTCAAAACACTGTGCTCACGATTGCTTGTTAGATAAAGAAAACAAACCTTCATATGATAATGCTTGAGTAGTGAATTTAAATCGACCGGCGACCAGTAGTAGACACGTTATTAAAATTAATAGAGGGTATTGCATGTTTCTTGTTTTTTTTTATTTATTTTTTGCTAATTTTTTATTATTTATTTTTTTGTTGTTTCTCCCCTTGTTTGTTTTATTAAAATTTATATTTTTTTTTTTTTTTTTTGAAATTTTAGTTTTTTTGTTTTTTCTTTCTTTTGTTTCCAACACAATTGACAGCGTATTTTCGTTTCAAGTTACCGGAACGATGGTTAGATTTAAACTGAGAAATGTTCAAAGTTGTGGTGTGAATTTATCATAGAATCTCCAGCATTTCTCATACAAAGTATTTGAACCGGCCTTCTCCCGACAAGTTCAAACTTTTATTTTTAAAATTTGTACATTACTATTTCTTTTGCCGCACGACTGTGAAATTTATTCTAGAATTTATTGAGTATTGATGAGATTTGTTTCTGGATTTACTCTGGATGGGGGGTGAAAGGTGCAAAGGAGCAATGTGTTAATAGAGATATGTATGCTTGACTAGGTTCCAGTCAGGTTGTTATTAATTTCAATTAATTACGATAAAGGTGTTCACAGAATGACGGACGAATCTCTGTCAGTGTAACATAACAAATGACAGTTTGTTTTAGAATAAAAAAAAATATTTGTTGTTTATTTATTTTTGTTGGAACATGTCTGTACTGCCAAATTAGAATGGAAGACAATGTGGTTATTTTTGAACAAAAAATGCGAATTGGGTGATTTTTTTTTGCGTTGTTTGCATGGAATTTTTTCAACACATTCTCAAGTTTTTTTTACTTCACATTTATGCACGATGTTTCACAAAATCTCTATGGGTTATCAGATCTGAGACAGAATTTTTATCGGAGCGAACACTGCAACTAAGTATTTTCGAAGCACAGGAGGGCCAATCTGGGAAAAATTTATAATAGTGTTTAATAACAAACTTTCCGATATACAACGTCTAATAATAAGATATCTGATTTCGAAAGGGATCAACCCAGACACATAGATAAATATAATTATATAGTATTATGTCCGTATAGAATCACAAGCAGCTTTAAATGTCAGTTAACAAAGCGGATCATATCACCCGCAGACATATAATCTGAGAGAATAAGAAGGATGCCATAACTAAATAAATTAAGCTATCTGCAATTAGGTTCTGTGAATCTCCGGACTGAGTTATGTTATGATCTAGTTTTGGAAGAAATGTTATAAGTATGACAATTCAAAATGTTGGGTTACAAGGAAAAAGTTGTCTTTGTTGTCGATTTTCGTTACAATTTCTACGAGATATTTATTTTTTCTGAAAATCGTGTTGGTTTATGATAGAGTTACAAGGAATGGTCCGATGTATCCAATTGTCGCTCTGTATACTACATATTGAAGAAAATAGGAAAATCTACATAATCTACAGAGTTTTTCCTGTAATTATGGAATAATTGGATTTAATGACACCGTGCAGTCATCTATATCTATAAAAGAGAAAAATGTTTGTGTATTTGTTTGTGTGTGTCTTTGTTTGTTTTTTTTTTTCAACTGCTGAACAGATTTTCCTGAAAATTTCCATATATAATACAGCATGGCCTAATAGTAACATAGGCTATATAAAATAGCTAAATAGCATCAAAATCTGAGGTACCTCCAACAAAGTTATTTTTTGTATGCATATATCTATGCACATATCTGTTGATCGATTACAGATAAGGGCTTCAAATTTGGATTGCGCAACGGAATTTGGAGCAAAAATAATTTTGTCAGATAATATTGAAAACCGGGCAGAATATAAATATTTTCGGCCGATTTCACTGATGCACCAAACACCATAAGTATGTCCGATTCCAATGAAATTCGAAATAAGCGAAAAAATTAGTACAAACAAGTTAAAAAGCAGTAAGTTCGGCCGGGCCGAACTTTTAATACCCTCCACCATTTACAACGAATTTGGAAATTTTCAAAAAATAAAATACTTAACAAATTCTGTTAAAATTTTAAAAATACCAAATATAGCCGTTATATTGGGGTCTATACGACGTGGACATACATATGCATTGTTTGTCATAAGCCATTACCATATTCAAATTCGAAACTGGACCCGCACCGACAATTTTCTGTCACAGACTGTAGTTCCCATAACGAACTTCAAATACCAAATTTTAAACAATTCCGGTTAATAATGTCGCTAAAATAATCAAAATACCGAACATAGCGAGGTGCCGTTATATGGGGGCTATACGAAGACGTGGACCTGCACAAACAATTTTCTGTCTTAGGGTGTAGTATCCATTTGGAACTTCAAATACCAAATTTGAAACAATTCCAGTGAATAATGTCGCTAAAATCATCAAAATACCGAATATAGGGAGGTACCGTTATATTGGGGCTATACGAAGACATGGACCTGCAAAGACAATTTTCTGTCTTAGGGTGTAGTATCCATTTGGAACTTCAAATACCAGATTTGAAACAATTCCCGTGAAAAATGTCGCTAAAATCATCAAAATACCGAATATCGGGAGGTACCGTTATATGGGGGCTATACGAAGACATAGACTTGCACAGACAATTTTCTATCTTAGGGTGTAGTATCCATTTGGAACTTCAAATACCAATTTTGAAACAATTCCGGTGAATAACGTCGTTAAAATCATCAAAATACCGAATATCCGGAGGTACCGTTATATGGGAGCTATATGAAAACGTGGACCTACATGGCCCATTTACGAACTTAACCTGCCTACTGGAAAAATAAACATGTGTGCAAAATTTTAGTCATCTATCTCAATTTATTCGAAAGATAGCGTGATTACAACAGACAGACAGACGGACAGACAGACAGACAGACAGACAGACAGACGGACAGACAGACAGACGGACATCGCTAAATCGACTTAGAATTTTACGCTGATCAAGAATATATACACTTTGTATATATATATATATATATATATATATATATATATATATATATATATATATATATATATATATATATATATATATATATATATATATATATATATATATTTCGGCCGATTACATGTATTTTATGCACCAAACACGATATATATGTCCGATTCCAATAAAATTCAGAATGTGTAGCAGGATTCGGTACAAAAAAAAAATTGCCAAATAATACTGAAATCAGTTGAGGTTTGGATATAGCTCCCTTATATATTTTTGGCCGATTTCACATATTTGTGGCACCAAACACGATATATGTGTGCGATTCCAATGAAATTCGGAATGAAACTGATTTTGTTAAGGTGTAAGACTATTTGAGTGGAAGACCGATTTATTCAAAATCTTACCCTCTATCTCATTGCGTGCGAAATCGAAATAAAATTTATTATATTTAGGGGCAAGAAGAAACCTGAAAAATTTCGAAAAAAATTCCGTCGGAAAATACCGTTCAAATGAAAACCGTTATATGGGGACTATACGAAGACGTGGTCCTGCATAAGTAATTTGTGCCATAGGCTGTAGTAACTGTTCCGAACTTTATATACGAAATTTGAAACAATTCCGGTGAATAATGTCGCAAAAATCATCAAAATACCGAATATCGGGGCAACCTTTATATAGAGGAAATATGATATCGTGGACAAGGAACTCCTTTTGTGAATTTTAAGATAATTCCATTGAAAAATTTGTCAAAAATCATCAAAATACCGAATATCAGGGGGTACCTATATATGGGGCTATACGACATCGTGGACCGATATAGATAATTCTCTTCCAGGGGATAAAGTACTAACAAGGAACTCCTTGTGTGGATTTTCAGACAATTACATTGAAAAATGTGTCTAAAATCATAAAAATACCGAATGTTGTAAGGTGCCGTTATGTGGGAGGTATATGATATCGTGGGCCTTTATAGACAATTCTCTTTCAGAGGGTAAAGTACTCATAAAGAACTCCTTGTGTGGAATTGCAGACAATTCCATTAAAAGATGAGGCTAAAATCATCAAAATACCGAATATAGGTGGTACCGTTATATGGGGGCTATACGATATCATGGCCGATATAGCCCATCTTCTAACTTGACCTACCTGCAGACAAAAGACAGATCTGTGCAAAGTTTGATCTTCCTACCGTAATACGTTTTGACTGTAGCGTGATTACAGCAGACGGACGAACAGTACTAAATCGTCATAGAATTTTACTTTGCTGGATCTAAAATTATTATTTCGATGAGTTACAAACGGAATGACGAACTAAATATACCCTCCATACTATGTATATAACGAAGCTGAGTTCCACCGAATAAAACGCACATCCCAAAATTCATTCCATTTGAGCTGATATTTGTCATTTGGTGCACAATTGACCTGAAATCGATTGAAGATATATATGGAAGCAATACCCGAATCTTAGACGATCTCCATAAATCTTGGCAAAGGTATTTCCGAGATATCTGGTACTAAATATCATTGTTGTCGAATGCATATTACAAATCTGAGGAACTTAAAGACCAACATATATATGCGAACCATATATGCCAAAATTCAGGTTATTTGAACTGATGGCCATTTGGTGCATAATTAAACCGAAATCGTTTGAAGAAACATATGGGAGCTATATCCAAATCTGTGCCGATCTTGATACAATTTAGCAGATGTATTTCTGGTCTGTATCTAATATCCGGTACCAAATAGCATTGATGTGGAGTGCATATTACGACTGTGAGGGACTTAAACACCAAATCCGACGAAACATATATATGGGAGCTAAAGCTTATATCTAAACCGATTTTCACCAAATTTGATATATTTACTTCTAGACTGAATTCGGTCGGATGCATTCCAGGTTATTTGGACTGATATTGGCCATTTGGTGCACAATTAAACCGAATTTGGTTGAAGATACATATTTGAACTATATCTAAATCTGAAGCGATCTTCATACAATTTGGCAGATGTATTTCTGGGCTCTATCTGGTATCTGGTACCAATTATCTCAATCGGATAATAAATGCGACCTGCAATTTGTTCACAAAAATACATGGACAGACTTTAATAAATCGACTCAGAAAGTGTTTCTATGAAAATCCTCAAAAATAACTCTGGGTTTATCTCGTTTCCTTTTCAATGTTACAAACAAATGCACAAAGACATAATATGCTTACCACTATGCGGTGTAGGGTATACATATTCTTATATAAGAGCCTGATCACAGGCTGTGTCATGCCGTCGAGTAGTAGTTCTCCAGCTACTACTCGTCTGGAAATTTGTGAACCTAAAGAAAGAATAATACATATTTCTTTAAACAAATGGTCACGTCATATGGTATATTTTTATGACAATAATGATAAACTGACACGATTAGTACATTTAAATAAATTTTAATTCTACACCGAAAACTAAAGTACAATATCAGAAGTGCATGTGTACTCTACTCTCCCTACTACATTTATGTTAAAAACCTTATACATCTAACGTCGTGAAAAGTGAAATAAATCATTGTTTCACCCTATGTATCACTCATGTTCTCAACAATCCAGGATATATAACTTCTTATTCTAGTATAAATCGCAGGCTTATCGCCACCACATTTACGACCATACGAAACAATGCCCTCTATGACCCAGGCACCAATGGAACGTCGAGCCAATGAACCACCAGAATCACCAATACAACTATCCTTGCCGGTAACACCTCCAGCACACATTTGTGTCGGCAACACATGAATTGGACAAACACTATTCTCCACATAGGGCACATCGACAATACGTTTTTCCACTGTAAAGTCCTCTGTAAATGGTAGATGCAAGTTAAATTGGTATTCATTAAAAATTCTGCCGTCTTATTCTGCTCACCTATACCATTGTCACCCCAACCGGCAACAGTCAGTGTGGAACCATTAATTGGCGGATGCAATGAATTTATAACACTTGGTAAACATATTGGAGCAACCGAAAAAGAAAATGTTATTTCATTATCAGTTTTCAGCAGAGCTATATCGTTGATCAGTCTTCCTTTTTTGGTCTCATGGAATTCCTTGTGTACGATTTTCTCAATGATATGGAAGATTTTAAATTTATCAATGCATCCTAAATCATCACAATCATTCTCTGTGGCAGTGTTATGATCACCAACTCGTATGGATACTCTAGAAAGAGAAATACGTTGACATAAGTAAGGGAACAAAAGGGAAACTTTTTGAATTTGCGGCACCAAATGTAGAATGCATTTCATTTGTATAATTTAATCCAATATATACTTACAATTGCCCCAATAGTTCTTCGATGGGACCCTGTACACAATGTGCAGCTGTGACCACATATCTGCTATTTATTATATTCCCAGAACAGCCTATTTGCAAATCTCCTTCCTCTGAAATTGACGAATATTTTAATCAATTCTATTATTTTTTATAAAAACATGTCGCCTGAAATAAATAGTTATTTCGAGGTGACTGATATTTGACAAATTAGTAGAAACACTCCATCATTGAAAGATACACACTTTTAAAAATATATATTTAAGTGGCGACCTATAGCATTCTGTTGTGATTTCTGTTGTATTGATGATATTGCGAATACCAACCACTAACTTCACGTCTAAAAATGTGAAGCGGATATTATTCTTCTATTATCTTTGTGGCAACACTGGTTTAATCAGACCGCGTACGTTAAATATTTATACCCTACACCACAAGGTGGTCAGGGTATCATGTCTTTGTGCATTTGTTTGTAACAGGCAAAAGGAAACGAGATAGACCCATAGTTCCTTTTGATGATCTGCATAGAATCACTTTCTGAGTTGATTTATACATGTCAGTCCGTCTGTCCGTCCGTCCGTCTGTCCATGTATTCTTGTGAACAAAATGCAGGTCGCATTTATTTTCCGATTGAGATGAAATTTTGCAAACAACATTTGTTTGGCCCAAGGACGAACACTATTGAAATTGGAGATAATCGGTAAAAATTTTGATTTTGCCTTTTATTGTGCACCAAACGTGTAATATCAGCCCGAATAGTATGAAATTTTGCACATACAACCAAATTAGGCCTGAAAATAAGTGTGCCAAATTTTATCGAAATCGGTTCATATATAGCTATAGCTCCCATATATATTGTTCATCCGATTTGTTATTTTTGTCCTCCGCAGCCGTAATATGCACTCTGTAACAACAATATTTGGGAAATACCTTTGCTAAATTTTATCGAGATCGGTTCAGATTTGGATATAGCTCCCATATTTAACTTCGTCCGATTTACCATTTATTGTGCACCAAACGTCTAATATTTGTCCAAATGGGATGGAATTTGGCACATACGACCGAATTTAGTCTAGAAGGTAGTATACCAAATTTGGTGAAGATCGGTTCAGATATAGTTATAGCTCCCATATATATTGTTCATCCGATTTATTGTATTTGTTACCCACAGCCGTTATATGCACTCCGAAATATCTTTGCCAAATTTTATCGAGATCGGTTCAGATTTGGATTTAGCTCCCATATATATCTTTATCTGATTTAGAATTAATTTTGCACCAAATGGGCAATACAAGTCCGAATTTAAAAGATACAAATGCTTCGGCGTATTTAGTCCTTTAAATTTTAAATTATAATTATAATCATAGGGTGTATGATTGAATTCTCCCATAAAATCTTTTACTTGTTATGTGGAGCTCAACTAAATTAGCAAAGTGGTGTAGGGTATCATAAAATCGGCCCCGCCCGACTTTAGGATTTTCTTTACTGGGTTTTCACTGTCAAAAATCTTTAGTTTGGTCTATAATTTAACCATGAATCTTCTTACAAACTAAATGGAAGATCTTGACTTGCATGAAATGTAATTTCAACAAGAAGGCGCCACATTTAACGTCTTCAGACTTTTTTAGGATATATTCAAGATCATGTCTATATAGACCCGCTATAGAGCCCGCTTCAATTGACGTATTAGATAGCAACATTGATGAATTCAATAGGGGCTATTGAATTCTAGTAAAATATAGTTTTTCAAATAAATGCGGGGAAATTATGAAGGCAGAGCTAAAAAAGTAAAACAGCTTTAATTTCGGCCGGGCCGATCTTTGAATACCCTTCATCATTTTGGAACGATTTTGGCAATTTTCAGAAAAAAATAAAATCCGTTAAAAATTATGTTAAAAACTTGAAAATACCGAATGTAGCCGTTAAATTAGTGTCTATACGACGACGTGGGCCTGCATAGGCAACTTTAGTCATAAACCATTACAATATTCAAATGCGAAACTTGAATAAAATTTTTTGGTGGATTGATTTTGATTTTAACTGCAATAATCAAAATTCAGAATATAGGGAGGTACCGTTATATGGGGGCTATACGAAGACGTGGACCTGCAAAGACAATTTTCTGTCATAGCCTGTAGTACCCATTACGAACTTTAAATACCAAATTTGAAACAATTCCGGTGAATAATGTCGCTAAAATCATCAAAATACCGAAAAAAGGGAGGTGCCATTATATGGGGCTATACCACAACGTGGACCTACATCACCCATTTTCAACACCGAAAGTCCTGCAGTCATAATACACATTTAAGTAAAATTTTATCAACCTAGAGTGATTTCCACAGACTGATAGACGGACAGACGAACGGACGGACGGTCATCGCTAAATCGACAGAGAATTTTATGCTGATCAACAATATATATACTTTGTGGGGTCTAAATGTGTATTTCGAGGTTTTACAAACGGAATGACAAACTTAATATACCCTCCATACTACGGTGGAGTGTATAAAAAGAATACACGTCACAAAGTAACCTAAATATATGGGTCAGGTTCCCCCTCTTCCACATTTTTGGAAATTTTGGGATTAAGATTCTTTGAAATCCGGGCATTTTACGTATATAGTGTCTTCGGCAATATTTCAGATAAAATACGAGCGAGTCCACAAATGGGTATTTTTCGTCCTCTTTTTAAAATACGGATTAAATTCCCTTTAAATGGGATCATAGCAGGTCAAAATATTCCACAAAATTATTTTTCATAAAATTTCATTATTTTATGTAGAGCTCTGAAATTTGATCCTCTGTAAGGATGCTGGCATTAAAAATTGGCTTTGCCGCTCCACGTTTAGAAATACACCCCATATTACTTTACCTCCCAATTTTCGGTATATTGAAGGTTCTTGCCACCATTTTTTATGCAATTATACGGTTCTCGCTATCACTAGGTAATATTTTTCTTTGCAAACACGTTTCCATATAGATTCAGTATTTCCTATAGCCCCTGCATTAATGTATCTTCTAATTGTCTGTATAGCCGCTAATTCCAACCACATTTGATACAGATCCACTATATGACATAGCTCCAACGTAAGGATACTTTTTCTTATTTTCCCGCCAAACTGTTTTAAAATTGTACTGACAAGAAAGATTGCTCATTGAAGAAACCTAATTATGGTTATTCGAAAATTCCTAATCACATTTTTCAATTCAATGAACTGGAATTCAATACTTTTACTCGAATAGACATATCAAGGAGTACCAAATTTAAGGGAATTTAAGATAACCACCTTGATCAGTGTAAAATTCTAAGACGATGTGTCCGTCTCTCTGTTGTAATCACGCTACAGTCAAAACGAATTAAGATAGGAAGCTGTCTTTTGTCTGCAGTCAGGTCAAGTTCGAAGATGGGCTATATCGGTCCACGATATGGTATAGCCCCCATATAACGGCACCCACCGATAGTCGGTATTTTGATGATTTTAGCCACATTTTCAATGAAATTTTCTAAAAATCCACACAAGGAGTTCCTTGTGAGTACCTTATCCCCTGGAAAAGAATTATGAATATAGGCCCACGATATCGAATATCCCCCATATAACGGTACCTCCCGGCCGAACTTGTAGCTTTTTTACTTGTTTATTTTTGCAAGTTTATACAAATTTCTTTAACTCACCATTTCTGTATTCCAAATTGACCAGCCATGGAAATTCACCCAATTGAGCTTCGACGCCGCCATGAATTTTGTCACCCACCAGCATTGGACCACACACTGGAGGCCGTGGAAATAGTTTAACTTTCTTTTCATGCTGCAACCACTCATTGGCCCATCTATTGCTGATTACCGGAGGTGCAATTTTTGGAATATTAAAATTACCGTTTTCATCAGGAAATAAAATACCACGACTCGAAGTTGTTGATGTTGAGGCCGTGGAACGGTCTGCTACATGTATAGATGTTTCATTTAACGTAGATGATGATGATGATGCTGAAGGCATGAAACGTCCTGCATTATCGTCATCGGGAAATATAATCCTCTTGCCAAAAACACAGCAAACATATGGTGGAGGTCCATAACCATTGGTACATTCCGTTTTGCTGGCATTACGATCGCATTCACTGTGATTGAGGCATTTCGTCAGTGACGTACATCTACCCAAGCGGCCATTTGAATTTTGGCATACATTTGAGACTACACACATGCAAACACATGCAGTGGGAAGAAAATGATTTCATTCAGATTACAGTCAAGCAACCGGGGAATACCCACCTCCATTTATGGCCACCTTACACCAAGCGATTCCAAAGCAAGCAAACAGCGATAATGTCGTCAAGTAAAATCCCCGTTTTTGCATGTCCGATGTGCGCGTACTAAACTGTTTCAGCGATACGACTTAATTTCCACCATTGATTGCGGCATACTGATATGTGAATTATTTTTGCGGCTTTATGATACCAACGCAGTCAGTCAGCTTAAGATACAGCTCAGCTGAGCGGCTTACAATGAAGCCTCATTCTATAGCAATGTTTTGTTGTTTGTTTTCACTTTTACTGAGAACATGAAAACAATTTTTTTTCTTCCTTTTGTTTTGTTTTCATTTTCTCATTTGTGTATATAAATGAATGAATGGATGGGATGCCAATCGTCATAATTGCACTTAGCGCTGGATCTTGTTGAACAGGTTACTAATTGTTTTCTTGCGTTCTATAGAATAATAAAAAAATTATAGATTACGTCTCGAGAAATGATAGAAATGTAGGCTGTAGAACGAATGCATAATTATGAGAGGTTTGGTAGCACCGAATCTTTTATACCGTTCACAATCCACTAGCGAAAAGCTTTATCATTCCATTCGTCCGGCTATTGAAGTTACGATTGCTTAAATTCAGTCAAATTTTATTACAGAGAACCCCGTTTTAAAACTTTTACAGCATATTATTTTAACTAGTAGTAACCGCATATGAAAAATATAATTATTGTCAAGTTTTTTTGTCTTAATCGCCAGCATCATGATTTCTAATGTAAAATTCTGAATTGGCATTTCGGTATGTCGGTTTTGCTTTACATTCCCTAATTTTTTAAGATATCGTCTCATAAAACGTTACATTTGCACGAATTACCAAAAAATAATCCAAAATCATAATATTATAATAATTTTACCTAATACATATTAAACACATATCATACATACCCCATAATACAATTTTTTATACCCTCCACCATACATAGTATGGAGGGTATATTAAGTTAGTCATTCCGTTTGTAATTCATCGAAATAATCATTTTAGACCCAACAAAGTATATATATTCTTGATCAGTGTATAATTCTAAGACGATTTAGCCCTGTCCGTCCGTCTGTCCGTCTGTTGTAATCACGGTACAGTCAAAACGAATTAAGATAGGAAGCTAAAATTTTGCAAAGACCTCTCTTTTATCTGCAGGCAGGTCAAGTTCGAAGATGGGCTATATCGGTCCACGATATCGTATAGCCCATATATAACAGTACCCTCCCATATTTGGTATTTAAATGATTTTAGCCACATTTTTCAATGGAATTGTCTGAAAATCCACACAACGGCTTCCTTATGAGTACTTTATCCCTTGAAAGAGAATTATCTATATAGGTCCACGATATTGAATAGCCCACATATAACGGAATTGTCTGAAATTCTACACAAGAAGTTATTTGTGAGTACTTTACCCCCAGACATAGATTTGTCTATATAGGTCCACAATGTCGCATATCCCCCCATATATCGGCATCTTCCGATATTAGGTATTTTAAAGATTTTTAGAGCATTTTTAATGGATTTTATTTTTTTGAAAATTTTCTATTTTGTTCGAAATGGTAGAGGGTATTCAAAGTTTGACCCGGCCGAACTTACTGATTTTTTACTTGTTCTTTTTTACGTTCGACTAAAGTCTGGATACGATATGATACGATTTTTTTTAAAAACAAGTAAAAAAAAAAACATTAAGTTCGGCCGGGTAAAAATTTTAATACCCTCCACCTTAGGGTAAAGGAAACATTAGAAGAAATGTGGCAAAAACCATCAAAATACGGAATATCGGGAGGTACCGTTATATGGGAGCTATATCAAATCATGGACCTATACATACAATGTTTCGCCAACGGAGCTAGAACCCATTATGACTACAAATACCAATTTTCAGACAAATCCGTGAAAAAATGTGGCAAAAATCATCAAATTACCGAATGTCGGGAGGTACCGTTATATGGGGGCTATACCAAAACGTGGACCTATAATTACAATGACTCGCCATACGAACTGGGACCCATTATGATCTACAACTACCAATTTTCAGAGTAATTCTTGAAAAAATGTTTGAAAAATCATCAAAATACCGAATATTGGGAGGTACCGTTATATGGGGACTATATCAAAACGTGGACCTATACATGCAATGTTCCGCAACACGAACTAGAACCCATTATGACCCACAAATACCAATTTCAGACAAATCAATGAAAAAATGTGGCAAAAACAATCAAAATACCGAATATCGGGTGATACCGTTATGTGGGGGCTATACCAAATCATGGACCCATACATGCAATGTTTCGCCACCGGAGCTGGAACCCATTATGACCAACAAATACCAATTTTTAGACAAATCCGTGAAAAAATGTGGCAAAAAAAAAATTAATATACCGAATATCGATAGGTACCTTTATATGGGGGCTATACCAAAACGTGGACCCATACATGCAATGTTTTGCCACACGCACTGGGACCCTTTATGACCTACAAGTACTAATTTTCAGACAAATCCGTGAAAAAATGTGGCATAAATAATCAAAATACCGAATATCTGGAGGTACCGTTATATGGGGACTATACCAGAACGTGGACCGATATATCTCATTTTCAATACCAACCATACTAGATACAATGCAAATAGCTCTGCTAAATTTTGGCGCTCTACGTCAAATAATGTGGGCTGTATCGTGATTTCAACAGACAGACAGACGGACATCGTTAAATCGACTTAGAATTTTATGCTGATTATGAATATATATACTTTATGGGTTCTACGACGAATTTAAGGATGTTACAAACGGAATGACAAAGTTAATATACCCTCCTTTCCAAGGTGGAGGGTATAAAAAGGTTTCTTAATTTATTCCCAAAGACACACATCTAACTTTTTCCAGGGGTAGTAAAGAAAAAAAGTGCAACAAAGTCGAACGCCATATTTTTTTTAATTTATTGAATGAAATTAAAAAATTTCGGAAATAGCATAAAATTTTAGAATCAGTTTACATTTGTTGGGCCAAACGAAGCAACTCTTTATCTCTTTTGAGTCTATTTTCTTTCGGTTGCGGTGTAAGTTCTTGCACTTTTTTTGGATTTTCAATGGCTTTACCAGGAGCTCATTTTTCAATATTTGCCGAATGGAATATTGTTATATGTTCAGCTCACGAGCCATTTTTCGGCCACTGAGACGCGGGTTTCGATCAAGTCGCTTCTTTACTTTTCGAAGCATTTCTGCTGATGTTGCTGTTTTCTTCCACTCCGGTATCACGGTTAAGAGCGATGGTACAAAACACAAAAAAATTATTTACATTTAAATGCTGGAGTGTTCTAGCGATAGCCACTTGTGGTTTTCCAGCCAAATATAAAGAAATCACACAATTACGCTTTAATTCCATCACGAATAACTTTTTTTCTGGAAAATTCTCACCGAAAAAATTTTGTACGCCTGTAAACAATATAATGAGCTTTCACTGGAATAATTTTAACAGCTGTCGGACGAGTGGCTTACAAATGGAGGCAATCTGAAGTTTTTTCATCTTACCCTGTATTAAACCAATCAGCGATTTTCTTACAAATTTACAACATTTCTGGTACCTCCCAATAAAATTTAAAAATGTTAACTAACTATTAATCACATAAAATTTTAAGTAAGTAAATTTTCAGGTATCAATATTTTTATCAATATTAGATAAAGAGTGAGAGTTTAAAAGTACAAAATTTCCATAAATGCATAAACATATCTCATGAAAGTTATAGTCGGTATAGTCCATATATATCTTGCTTGGATCAGATTCGAAATTAAAAACAGTGGCCTATTCCTTCGGTGCCTTTTTCATAAGGCCTCAACATTTTTAGTAATCATAAGTCAAAATATGTTTTAATAAACGGACATAGGCTGAGGGTATACATGTGTCGCCAAACACTTGCTATGACTTTAAATATACTAAAATGCAGCTAATTATCACATTGACATCGGCCATCACTTCGAAGCTAGACAGCTTGTGTGTATTTCACATTTTTAAACAAAAAAAATCAAAATACCCTCACCACGTGCTGGTGTAGTTAAAACAAACAGTTGAACCGAAAAAAATGCAATTCAATTTCTGTGAAACAACTTTTTGACATACTTATAGAACACACTTAAAACATTATTACGTTTTAAAGATATTCAGAATACCAAAAAACATATTGATTTTTAATTTCTTACAGATCCAGAATCAACCAGTCTTATTTTGAGCTTTTGCCATTTATAATCGATGAATAAATGGAAGCCGGCTTGAAGAAGAACATGCTAAAGTCTCGTTAAGAAAAAAATGTTGTGGCTTAAAATGCACCCACAATGCTAAATGTATCTTATAAAAGTTTCGTTGACATTGTAACCGCAAATTATAAATATGCGAACAAATTATAAATATGCGAACTAGCGTTTTGAAGCATGACGTCATGATTTGAAAATATCTAGTTTTAAATGTTTAATTTGTCATTTTAATGCATTCTACAAATCTAGGAAGGGTATTTTAATTTTCTCCTTTGGTTTGATGAAGTATGCTTTGGAGAAAATCTACTCAATTTGGGTTGATATTACATATACAGGGTGAGATGAAAAAACCACAACCAACTTCAGACTGCTGTTATTTCTACGCCACTCGTCCGACAGCTGTTAAAATTATTCCAGTGACAGTTCATTATATTGTTTACAAGCGTACAAAAGCATTTTAGGGAGAATTTTCCAGAAAAAATTTATTCGTGATGTAATTCAAGCATGATAGTGTGATTTCTTCATATTTTGCTGCAAAACCACAAGTGGCTACCGTTAGAGCAATCCAGCATTTAAATGTGAATAAATCTTTTGTGTCTCGTACCATCGCTCGATACCGTGATACTGGTAGCATAGCCCGACATCAAGGAAGTGGGCGGAAAAAACCGCAACATCAGCAGAAATGGTTCGAAAAGTAAAGAAGCGACATGATCGAAGCCCGTGTCGCGGTGGCCGAAAAATGGCTCGTGAGTTGAACATATCGCAATATTCCATTCGGTAAATACTGAAAAATAAGCTCTGAATTAAGCCATTGAAATTCCGAAAAGTGCAAGAACTTATACCGCAACAGACAGAAAATAGACTCAAAAGAGCTAAAGAGTTGCTTCGCTGGGCCGAAAGT